TTGACCTAGATTTGGTGGATGATCTGCAGTGACAGGTGCAGATAATGACTAGAACAGTCATTGTCTTTGACCAATTGTGCTAGCAGAGACAGCTGCCAGGCCACCTCTTCAGGATCCTGGGGAAGAGCCTCCACTTTTAACATTTATTCTGCTTTTCTACTATGAGTAATTAAAAGGTGCTTGAGAAAGATAATCAAAGGGAAAGAGACGTTTAACAATATTGTTCCATGATCATCTAACTTTATAGCTGAAAGGAAATGCTCAGATGAGGAAACTGAGGCTAAAGGCAGGTTACCCAAGGCCACACTGCTAAATCAGGGGCATAGGGATAAGAACTAGACCTTTGCTTTGTCTGGCGAAGAAAGTCCTCCTATTGTTTAAGGTTGATACCTCCTAGTCTCAGAGAATTGCCTAGAACACTGAGAAGCTAATGATTTCCCCAGGGACCCACATGTATTAGGGGTCAAAAGTAGGACTTGAACTCAGGTCTTCCTGACTCCTGAACACCTTTCTAGCTATTATGTTATGCTATTGTTCAGCATGTTACTCTATAATGAGTAGAGTCTGTACCAGTATCTCAGAGATACTGGGAATATGTGTGTGTGTGTGTGTGTGTGTATGCAAAGAGAGAGAGAGAGAGAGAGAGAGAGCGCGCGAGCGAGCAGATCTCAACTCTAGTCTTCCTGATTCCAATCAATTGAGATCCAGCCTCAGACATTCACTAGCTGTGTGTGACTCTGGGCAAGTCACTTAACCTGTTTGCCTCAGTTTCTACATCTATAAAATGAGGATAATAATAGCACCTATCTCCTAGGGCTATTGTGAGGATAAAATGAGATACCTGTAAAGCACTTAGCAGAGTGCCTGGCACATAGTAAACCCTATATAAATGTTAGCCACTATTATATATATATGTGCATACACATGTGTATATATAGACATTCATATGTATATGCATATATACACACGTGTATTTTCTAAATTACATATTTACAAACATGTATATATGTATGTATGTACATATACACATAAGTATACACACATAAGTGTACATTATACATTATTTGGAGAAAAGAAAATTTTGCTTTGGAATAAGGAAGACAAACTAAAGGAACCCCATTAAAATTAAAAGCAGCATTTTCTCTCATTGGCAAGGCTTTCCAAATGTTCTTATTGGCAAGACCTTCAAACTAATTTTTGGAGCCCTGGAACACTGAAAAACCTTAGTGAATTCTATAGCAATGGAAAAAGTCTAAAATCCACTTTGGACAAGCAATGGATAAGGCATAAATATTGTCTCAATTATGACATGCTGTTAAATGTTGAACCCATGCAGTTAGTCCATTAATATGTATTTTGGACAGGTGCAACAGATGGATAATGAACTGGATCCAGAATTGAGTAGGAGAGAGAGATTGTTTGACTGTTCCCATGACTGGATTACATTTGGGAAATTTCAGTTTTCAGTGATCCCAGACTGCTTGTTATCAGTATTCTCCTGGTGAGGCTACATGGCTAGGAATCATGGAATACTATAACCTTGGAAGAATTAACTGTAAAGAGGATGATGGAAAGATGTATTGTGGGTGTTGCTGATGACAGCTTGTATCCCAAAAATGTGACTAAAAATCAAAGAACATTTATATGACTGGAGAAGGAAATAGTCTGGTTATATGTAGAGAAGAGACAACAATGCATATCATGAATATGTCAGTGGCTCCCTGAAGACACCACAAAAAAAAAAAAAAAAAATGAGGCAACCTTCCCTGATCTTCTCACCTTCCATACTCAAGTGATTCAGAAATAAGCCAAGATTTACATTTCTAACATCAGATTCTTCAAATCTGCTTTCCCTTGTCCACGGAGGATATGGTGTTCCATCATTAAGTATGACCATTAGTTAATTATACTTTGACTAAGAAGTATCCTTAACCCCTTACATGCTGGGAAGCAATGTCTTTACTATAGCACTTCAGAAGAGACTCACTACTTTGCTACTAATTAAAAACAAATCTATATACATATCTAACTGGTTCGAAGCATTTTTCTCTCAGAAATAATCCCCTTTCCAATAATCTATCAAAGTACAGTTAATAGAACTTCCCTATTAAGAATGACAAATAGTGTGGGCCAGTAGTCAGCAGCCCTCCAATCCTCCAAATTTGCAAATTTTACCATGAGAACTTGCATGCTGGAAGAGGATCAATTAAAGGTACTGAGAATGTCTAATTTAGAGAACACTTAAGAAAGATAAAACAGCTGCCTTAAAGTATTAGAAGACTTTTCTTTGAAAGAGGAATTAGATTTATTCTGCAGAACCAAACTAGGTCGAAGAGAAGGAAGTCGGTGGGGTTTTTTTTAAGGGGGGGCGGGGCAGTTTTGGGCCCAATATAAGGAAACACTTTCTCACAATCAGATGTGTCCCAAATGGAATGGACACTTTGGAATTGTGTGTAGGGATGGGTAGTGAATTACCTGGTCATCAAGCAGGAACCGGATAACCATTTGTCAGGAATATTGTATACATATCTCATGCTTCAGGGAGTGGTTGCACTAGATGACCTCTGACTTCCCCTCCAACTCTGTGGTACTGTGATTTTATAAAGAAAAGGCCTCCTTTCATTGTATGGAGTGTGTCCTCTGTAGAATATGAATGGGAAAACATGGACTAGAGCAGCGGTGTCAAACTAAAATAGAAATAGATCCCTCTGGGGGCACATACTGACTTAGAGAATAATATTATCTGTGTGGTATTTTACTTCTATTTGTGTTAAACATTTCCCAATTACATTTTAATCTGGTTGGAGTGTTCAGGAGTTTTGTGAGGCATGGGGCTGAGGGCTGTGAGTTTGACACCTCTGGGCTAGAGGTCTAGGCTAAGAAATGGTGGAGAAAGGGGTTGGAGGGGCTGATGGTCATTGTAGAGTTTGTCCATGCCTTAATGAAATCACAGACTGCTCATAGACCAGTGATTAGCACATAATTAAAACAGTGCTCTAACTCTAGGTGTTCAGCTATGAAAACGCATTTTCTTATATTTTTATAGTCATATTTGACTTTTAGTTTAGAACATATACACTGAATACAGACTTGAATTCTGTAGTCTCCTTTGTGGCAAATTTTTCTTTTCCTCAAGGAAACAAAACAATAGCTTCATAGAATTTCAGAGCCAGAAAGGACCTTGGAGATTTATTTAATTCAACCAACTGAAAAAAATACTCCCAGAGAACAGAAGTAATTTGCTCAAAGTCATCCACAACCGGTTAGGGGAATAGCTAAATTCTATGTGCTCAGCCCAAAGTGGCTAGACTGGGCACAACATGGAGTGGTAGAAATACTGACTGGTTGTAGAGACTGGACAGAGAACATTTATTAGCTCTGTGACATTACAAAAGTCACTCGATCTCTTTGTCAACTTTCTCTTCTTTAAAACGGGGATAATACTGATGATAGTGTTTATGTGAGTTTAAGGTCTGCAAAAGTATTTTCATGCATTATTTCAACTACTTTGTCTCAGCTACTGACCTCATACAGTTGTTCTGAGGAACAAGTTAAATAGATGCAGCGTAATAGGCAAGCATTATTATTTGATATGGAAGGCGATAAGCCTGGAGGCAATTTGTGCTCTGGGTAGTGGGGAGATAAAGCAGCACAGCTAAAGCTTCTATATCTCCCTTATAACTCTCTGTCACCCAAAGTTTGAGAAATGCCTACTTAAAATAAGGGTTAACTTTTACTCAAGAACAGAAGGGAAAACTGAATAGGAAGCTCGTATTGAGTAAATCCTGTTGAATTCTTTGTATTCCTATTCTCAACACCTAGTATAGTGCCTGGAACCTAGTAGGCACTTCATTAGATATGGGGCATCCCAAGATTATTTAAACTATCAAAGCTTAAAACTGCATGAAGACTTTTGGGACACCCTGTGCTTAATGGTTGCTTGAAGAATTAAATGACTAGTGGCTGGTAGGGAAGTCTTTCTTAGCCTTCTATCCACTAATTTTAAGGATATTTAACATCATCTACTTAGATCAGCAAGTCAGATGTTTCTTAAACTTCAAGAGACTTAGGAAGGAAGCTTATTTTCTACTTACAATTGTGTATTGAGAAAGGTCTACACTTAGTTGCACACTACTCCTCTCTGGCTCAAACTATCCAAGGATTATGGATTGAGAGCTAGAAGCAACCTCAGAAATGGTGGTCCAACTTTTTCACTTGACTGATGAAGCATCAGGCTAAAGAGGTTAAATGACTTTCTCAAAATCACATAGGTAGAGAAAGAGGATGAAGATCCACCCGTCATGTTTTCTAGAGTCACTGGAGTTTTTCCATCGGATCACATTGGGTTGGAAGTAGTCTCACTAAACCAAGAAGCAACAACTTATGCTATCCGTCTTCTCTCCCCCAGAATCACATACTGTATGAAATATTTTGGAATTATGTGCTATCTTTTGAGCCAGTGAATGGACAATAAATAAGAAGCATGGGGGAGGCAGCATGGAATTAGCAGCAATTTTCACTGAAGCTGTATCTTAGAGTATGCAATGTTAGTCATTTTCTCAGCTAAATTCTAAGAGTTTGGTTACCTTTGATTCTGCAGAGGTTGGTTGTTGTTGTTGTTGTTTTTAGGAATTCATAGCCATTCAGTCCTGGGTGGTTTAGCAGAAAGAAACAGGAGAAGATGGACAAGTCATGGTGAATAGACTTAAATTTTATTTAGCTGTAAGATATTCACTTTTCTCTCTCCTGAGCAGCTGACCAAAACCATGTAATATGTGGACTTGGTTGTAATATCAGGTCCTTCCTATCTTGTTGACTTGTAAGGACTTTTCTAATCTTACTAAAATCCTGGGTGGAAGGAAACTGTTCACTAATGGAAACGGGAGCTGCATCAAGGACTAACTGGGAAAGAAAATCTAAGTTAAAGGAAGGAAAGTCACAGTTATAAGTCAGTATCTTGAGGAAGTCAAAAACAGTCTTGCAGCCTTGATCGTTTGTGGTTACAGAATATTGTCCATCAGGATTTTATTCCTGTAAGAAAATTGAGATAAGCTTAGTGACTTGACCTGAGGGCAAAGAGACTACTTCATACTGTCCCCTCAAAGAGTGACAAGTGGCAATAAATAAGGAAAACAATTTTTATGGGAAATTACTCCATGAATGATGAACAGGGCAAAATGAGGTCCAGACAAGAAAGTAAGGTGAAATAAGATATCCCACTTGCGGGAGGAAAAATATCTACCCAAGTGCCCCGCTATGTGAGATGGGCTAGTTGTCCATAAGATCCTACCCCAACGAGGTTAGGCTAGTTTTTCCTTAAAAGTTGCTGAAACTATCCTCAAAACTTGATTGGCTCAGAGGACTAAAGCTTGGGCTGCTGATGTTGCTTCCCAGTTACTTAAGTAGAAAGGCTAAATACACAGGGAGTCAGATGCTTTTTTCTAGCCCCTAGGTTTCTGATTAGTCAATCATTAGCATGACCAATTCTAGGAAATGGCTCAATTAAATCAATGTATTTTTCCCTGCTCTGAGTGCCTATCCCATCCCCTAATGCTGAGTTTAGCCTTTTTATAATGGAAACTGCTAAATGGTCTACAAGTATTTAATTTTTTTTTCTAGCCTTGAATCTGAATTATCAGCCAGACTGAGCCAGGCCTGGCCTATTTATCACATCTCTCGATTTCCTTCTTTCTGAAACGTGTATTCGTTGGGGAAGTGAGGTTTGTATTGTCAATTTTTCTTACTTCAACATAATACAAAAATCCCAATATCCCTTCTTAGAACGAGACTGTGTAGCCACATTTAACTAAATTATTCAGACCTAATAACTTCTCTCTTTACTGCAAACTTTTGCATGAATTACATGGATAATCAAGAAAAACAGTCCCCTATGAATGACTGAAGATACCAGTCCAATGTTTCCATATAGAAAGGCACCTTAAAAGTTACCTGTAGACACATTTGGGGCACAACCAATTGTCTTCTACTTCTGGGGGTGGGAAAGAGCAGGTAGGCAATAATAAGAGAGGAATCAATATGTCATTTTCAGGCACCCAGGTCTGTCCAGCATGGAACTCCAAAGGAGCTGAACCAGAGACATCATTAGGAAAAACTTCAGCATGTACTACACACCATCGTGGTAAATCTGGGGGAAAAAGAGGAGGGAAATCAAGAGAGATGGAGAAAGTATAAAGAAATACAATAATAATCCAGTCCTTTATATGCAATTATCAACTTATCAATAAGCATTTATTAGGTATTTGTAATAATTTATTAATGCAGCATGATCTTTTTTTTTTTTTTTTGGCAAGGCAATTGGGGTTAAGTGACTTGCCCAGGGTCACACAGCCAGTAAGTGTAAAGTGTCTAAGGTCACATTTGAACTCAGGTCCTCCTGACTCCAAGGCCAGAGCTCTAGCCACTGTGCTACATAGCTGCCCCATGATCTCCTTTCTTAAAGTCATAGGATAACAATTCACATTTTCATAGCACTTCCAGATGTACAAATTGCACTCTCTCAGACAACCTGTGAGGTGTGTGGTACAAGTATTGCCACTCCCATTTTACAGATAAGGAAACTGAGACCCAGAGAGGTTTTTTTTTTTAATGACAATATTTTATTACCATTACATGCAAAAACCATTTTTTTTTTCCGCTGTAGAGAATTTTATTTATAATAGAATCTTATGTGCTGAAAATGCTACAATGTAGAAAAGACTAGGGTAGGGTTTTAAATGGAATTTCAAAAACAAGCTAATACCAATTTCAGAAACAATAATAGATTTGAATATGATATAAACTATTAAAATCTCTTAAATTAAACCAATTAAGTGATATCTAATCATTCTAAGTATATAAGAATACGATGACTGAAAATGCCTAATGTGAAAATAAAAACCATGAAGTGAGGAATTTAATGCTTTTGAAAATAAGCCCAGACTACATATGTAATACAAAATATTTCATATTTTTTAGTAAATATTTTCTCACTTACCATGCAGTACCACTTTTGAAATACATAATTTCTACTTTAATTCTAGCCATACTAAACTGTGGACATCAATGTTAGTATTTTATGATGTGTTCAAATGTAGCCATGAGTTAAAAAAGTAACCTACTAGGACAGAACCCATTAGAAATCTAGTTTCTGCTACCATCTTGACCCATAAGATCATCATATCTGTACATAATTGGTATTTTTGTCACCATTTAGCACTGAAAATCACCACACTTGATAAGCAAACACTAGTAAATACTTCAGTACTGTGTATATGAAGCAGAGTTTGTCTTAATGAATTACTAAAACAGATGTAACAACTGTTTTCAATCACGATTAAGACCAAAATGATTGTTTGCTTATGAATTTTTTTTCTTGGTAATTTCTGGAGTGAATTAAAAGAATCTAGTCACCAGTATTTAAATTTACATTTGCATAACTAATTCTCTGTTATTTGAAAAACAGGAAGCTGAAACTCAACCTTCATGTTCTTGACTCCATACCTAGGAAAGAGATAACCTGACTGAAGTTTTTATTTGTCCTTCCCAATCCTAAAGGTTAAAGTAATGCTCATTTTCACTAAGCAAAAGCCTTATTAAACTGGTGCAGTCATTACCTCGTTATAATATATAGGCTTTGCTCCTTAATATCAGCAATCCTCTATATAGCCACTACATACAAAGAAGACATGATCTGACCATCAATAAAACTGAACCCACAAAGCATTAAGGTGCTTTATGTCAGGCTCTTATGAATTCCACATATTAAGTCTCATAAATATTATTTTGATTGCTTTTTTTGGTTCAATTCTAGGTTTTTTTTTTGGGAGGGGTGGTGGTGGATAAATTTTGCCATGATCTTCTTTTAATATACTTAAGTAATGATTTATTAATATAGTAAGTGAAAAGTAAATTGCAAAGGAAGCTTTCTTAGCTAGATGATTAAGTACAGTACTTTGGATTGTTCAAAAAGTATATTGTATGACTATCCCTAAGTTTTCAGAGCCAAAGCTATCTAGTACTGTGGTTACTTATTGACAGCTTGGCTAAAGTTCTTAAAAATTCACTACTGCAAAAGTTAAACCTAACAATCTTCCATAATGGTTTAAAAGAAAAGTACCACTTAGGTTGTATGACAAAAAGAGATATGCAGATACACTTTGATATGCTAACAAGACTGCAATTTATCAAAAGACAGGGAAAATCAATTCTTACTATTCAAGAGTTATCAAAAAATTAATGTTTCGAGGGGCAGCTAGGTGGTGCAGTGGATAGAGCTCCGGCTTTGGAGTCAGGAGGATCTGAGTTCAAATGTGACCTCAGACATTAACACTTACTAGCTGTATGACCTTGGGTAAGTCACGTAACCCCATTGCCTACCAAAATAAAAAAAAAATTAAAAAATTAATGTTTTGGCCAAGCCATATTTATAAACACAAGTCGACAATGCAAAATAGTTGCATAATTAATAATGCCAGACAGCTATGATACGGTAGGTTCAAGTTAACCCCACCTGTCCAAAAATTACTAAAAACAAAACCCCAATAGCTGGCCAGTATAAACCTGTAGTATTTGCCTAGATTTCACTACTTACTATAATCATCGTTCTAATATTTAAAATCACATCTAAAGGATAAGACACAGCCATCTACTAATTGGCATATCTGTTTATTTCTCATTTAGCGAAAATGTCCTTTATTAAAGCTGCAAAACAAAGTTCAACTGTGATTGCTACGCAAAAGAAATGACTGAAGGTATCTGCTCTGCAAGGAACTTTACAGTTCTCGACCCGCCCCCCCCCCACGCAACGTGCTATATGCAAAAAGCTACTGACTGAACTACAGGCATTAAATACTGAAAAAGCTAACAGTTTATTATAATTCATTTTATTTAACAATCTAGGAAGTTCGCAGGCATCAGCAATTCCAGGCGCAATTGAGTACCAGCAACCTTGGTAGCTAACCTGGTAGGTAACATGCACGCGAACTCCTCATGGCAGCGCGCATGATGTGACGTGACGTGACGTGAGGGGATTTGTCTAAAATTAGCTTCGTCGGCTGAACCCCTCAATGGGCTGGTATTGATCCTGCTGTGAAAGCAGGCTCTCTTTACAATAAATTCATGACCATCGGAAGATCCCAATTTCACATGCACAGCATCCGGGCCCTCACACCCGTAGTATGTTTTCTCTTCTCCATTTCCTTAGGAAATTATATTTTGTTTCCACAAGAATTTTTAACAAAACCCCTTGTCAGTTCTGTGGAGGCCGCGGCTCGGGCCTGCTCACCGCCGCAGCCCCGCCCCTAGGGCCGCCCCTCCCCCTCCCCTTCCAGCACCCCCCCCCCCCCTATTTTGCCCCCGCCCCCAGGGTCGCCCCCCCCCCCCCCCAGGATGGGCCTTCTTCCCCCCCCCCCCCCCCCCCCCGCGTCCAGGTCGGCCCTCCCTGCTCCCCACTCCCAGGCCCGCCCCCACTCAGTTCCTTCCCTGTTCGCCCCTCCCCCGCGGGCCCCAGTCACCCGCTGTCCTCTCTTCCGGGGCAACGGGAGTAACCACTTCCTCCGGGTCAGCACCGCAAAAACTATTTTTAACATTGGTTTTTGAGTTCTAAGTTCTCTCCCCCTCTCCCCCTTGCTGAGAAGGCGAGCGATTTGACATACATACGCAGTCATGCAAAACATATTTCCCTGTTAGTCATGTCGTAAAAGAAAATACAGACTAAGGGGGCAGCTCGGTGGCGCAGTGGATAGAGCACTGGCCCTGGAGTCAGGAGGACACGAGTTCAAATCCAACCTCAGACACTTAACACTCACTAGTTGTGTGACTTTGGGCAAGTCACTTAACCCCAATTACCTCATATTAAAAAAAAAAAAAAAACAGAAACAAAAACGAAGAAAATACAGACCAAAAAAACCAAAAGATAAAGAAAGCAAAGAAAAAGGAATTCTTCCATCTGTATAGATTCCACCGGTTCTTTCTCTGGAGATGGATGGTATTTTTCATCATAAGTCCTTCAGAATTGCCTTGGATCACTGTATTGCTGAGAATACGAAATCATTCACAGTTGACCACTGTACAATATTGCTGTCACCATGTACAATATTCTCCTGGTTCTGCTCATTTCACTTTGCATTAGTTCATGGAAGTCTTTGCAGGTTTTTCTGAGAGCATCCTGCTTCTATTTCTTATAACACCAAAGTATTCCATCATAATTATTTACAAAAACTTATCCAGCCATTCCTCAATTGACGGCCATCTCTTCAACTTCCAATTCTTTGCCACTATTATAAGAGCTGCTATAAATATAGCTACATATAGGTCCTTTTCCTTTTTTTTTTTTAATCTCCTTTGGATATATGCCTAGTAATAAATAGTCCTTGGTCAATGGATATGCATGATTTTATAGTCCTTTGGGCATAGTTCCAAATTGATCTACAGAATGGCTGAATCAGTATACAACTTCACCAACAGTATATTAGTGTCCCAATTTTATCACATCCAATTTTACCACATTCAACTATCCAACTATTAGAGTCCCAATTTTACCACTCCAACTTTTGTCATTTTTCTCTTCTGTCATATTAGCCAAATTGATGGGTGTAGAGTGGTAGCTCAGAGTTGTTTAATTTGCATTTCTCTAATCAATAGTGATTTAGAGCATTTTTTCATGATTGATACTGTGTCTGAAAACTGCCTTTTCATTGCTGCCTTGTCAACTGCCTTGACCATTTATCGGTTGAGGAATGGCTTATTTTTAATTTGACTTAGTTCTCTAAATATTTGAGAAAGGAGGTCTTTATTAGAGAAACTTGTCACAGTTATTATCACTGAGTATTTCCCTCCATCCTATTTCCTCCTCTGTTTATCCTACTTTTTCTCTTCTTTCATCCTGTCCAACTCAAGTGTTTTGCTTCTGTCTTTTATCTACCCCAATCCACTGACCCTTCTATCACTTTCCCTTTCTCTTATTTCCTTCCCCTTCCACTTTCCTGTAGGGTAAGATATATTTATATACACTGAATGTGTATGTTATTTCCTCTTTAAGCCAATTCCAATAAAAGTAAGGTTTTCTCACTCTTCCTCCTCAGTCTTCCCCTCCACTGTAAAGGCTCTTTCGAACCTCTTTTGTATGAAATAATCTACCCATTCTACCTCTCCCTTTCCCCTTCTCCCAGTGCATTACTTTTACTCACTCCTTAATATTTTTTTTTAGATAATTATCCAATCATATTCAACTCATATCCATGCCCTCTGTCTCAGTATACTCCTTCTAATTGCTCTAGTAATGAGAGTTTTTAGGATTTACAAGTATCATTTTCCCATGTAGAAATTTAAACAATTTAACCTTAATTGAAATCCTTATAATTTATCTTTCCTGCTTACCTTTCTATGCTTCTCTTGAGTTTTGCATTTGAAAGTCAAAATTTCTGTTCAGCTCTGGTCTTTTTGTTAGGAATGCTCAAAAGTTCTGTATTTCATTGAGTATCCATTTTTTTTCCTTGAAGGATTATGTTAAGTTTTGCTGGGTAGGTGATTCTTGCTTGTAATCCTGGCTCCTTTGCTTTCCAGAATATCACATTTCAAGACTTCTGATGCTCTAATATAGAAAATGCTAAATCTTGCATTATTCTGACTGTGGCTCTATGATATTTGAATTGTTTTTTTCTAGCTGACTGCAGTATTTTCTCCTTGACCTAAGAACTCTGAAATTTGGCTATAATATTCCTGGGAATTCTCATTTTGGGAATTCTTTCAGGAGGTGATTGGTGGATTCTTTCCATTTCTATTTTACCTTCTAGTTCAAGAATATCAAGGCAGTTTTCCCTGATAATTTCTTGAAAGATGATGTCTAGGCTCTTTTTTCCATCATGGCTTTCAGAAAGTCCAATGATTTTAAAATTATCTCTCCTGGATCTATTTTCCAGGTCAGTCATTTTTCCCAGGAGAAATTTTACATTTTCTTCTATTTTTTCATTTTTTAAAAAAATTTTTTGTTTTATTGTTTCTTGATGTCTCATAAGGTCATTAGCTTCCACTTGCCTAACTCTAATTTTTAAGGAATTATTTTCTTCAGTGAGCTTTTGTACTTCCTTCTCCATTTGACCAATTCTACTACTTTTTAAGGAGTTCTTTTCTTCAGTGAAGTTCTGTGCCTCTTTTTCCACTTGGCCAATTCTGCTTTTCAAGGCATTCTTCTTCTCATTGGATTTTTTACCTCTTTAACCATTTGGACTATTCTGTTTTGAAGGCATTTTTTCTTCAGTATTATTTTGTGCCTTCTTTACCAAGCTGTTGACTCTTTTTTTTCATGATTTTCTTACATCACTCTCATTTCTTTTTCCCAATTTTTCCTCTACCCCTCTTACTTGATTTTAAAATCCTTTTCAAACTCTTCCATGGCCTGAGCCCAATTCATATTTTTTTCCAGAGGCTTTGGATGTAGGAGCTTTGACTTTGTTTTCTTCTCCTGAGTATGTGTTTTGATCTTCCTTGTCATCATAATAACTTTCTATGGGCAGGATTTTTTCCTGTTGTTTTCTCATTTCCCCAGCCTTTTTCTTGACTTTTAACTCCATGCTAAAGTGGGGCTCTGCTTCCAACCTGGAGGATGCATTTTACCAAACTTCCGGGGTTTTTGTGCAGCTATTTTCATAGATACTTCTGTGGACCTGTAAGTTTTCAGTTCTTCTAAGGTGAGGTGTGTTACTACTCTCCTAGCTTGTGCTCTGGTCTTCAGTGACCACAACCATTGTTTTCTGCCCTGGAACTGTGAAGAAGATCCCCCATTTCACTGAGGCTGCAAGCTCTGGTGTGCTAGCATTCCTCCTTGCCCTGGAACTACTACTCAGGACTGCAACCTAGGTCTGAGTATAAGCAAAGCAACAGAGTTGTGTCCCCAGCGATGGCAAAGAGACCCCTGTAATCTTCTTCTGACCAACTGTTTGACCCCTTCACCACCTGTGGGCTTTGAGCTCTGGAAGCAGTCACAGCTGCTGCTGATTCAGTCACTCCCAAGCCCTGCTACTGGTTTGCTGGGGCCTAGTTTGCACTGGCATGGCCTACACTGGACCAAGCTCTACTCTCACCCTGGTGCCATAGATCTTTCTTGCTGACCTTCTAAGCTGTCTTGAGCTGGAAAATTGTTTCACCCTGTCCCTTTGTGGGTTCTGCTGCTCCCAAATTTGTTTTGAGGCAATATTTTAAAGGTATTTAGATGGGAATTTGAAAGAGCTCAGGCAAGCCCCTGTCTTTTTTCTGCCGTCTTGGGTTCCCCCACTTCCCCTGAACCCAAAGTTTTAAGTGACTTGCCAATCAATTATCACACAGCTTCTTGATTTCAGAGCTGAGATTTCAACTCAGGTCTCCTGAGTCTAAGGAAATTTCTCTACTTACTTCTGTAAAACACTTGGAAGTTAGCTAATGTAGCCCCAGTATATTAGGTCTATTCAACAACCCTGTAAGACTGGCCCAAAGTGCATAGGCATAATCCTGCACTGGAGGAATAGTTAAGTGTAGAGAGAAAAAGAAAGAAAGGGAGAGAATCAGACAATCTGCATCATCTGCAGGGGTGATAATTATTGCCCTAAGTGAGGAAGAGTCAATTCTCTCTCTCAAATAGAGCCTTAATTTATATTTTCCTGATTTCACAAATGTTTTTAATAGATGTACAAATTACTCCATGGGTCATGATGCACTCCTAGGTGTCCTTGTGGTCACACCCCTCCCTTTCCCCAAAGTTACAAGGCTAAGGAAATTCCAGTCCCTCCTTATACAGGCATACCCCACAGTTAATTAGGCTAATTAAGCTAAGTAAGGCATGGTCGGTCTTACCTGACTGTTTGGACCTAGTAGGCTCAGAAGATGTGGACGTGGGCCATACTGCCTTGGACTTCACTGTTGCCATGAGTCTGCTCCATGCTGCCATGCTGGCTGTCTGGACAAGGGCAGTCTTTGTTGCTTCTCTTTTCTTTTTCTTATTTGTCAGTGTCTCTGCTGCTTTAACCACCATCTGACTTTCACTTGAAGACTCTTCAGTTGAAGTTTCTGTTTTAATTTTTATCCACTGGGCCTTTTCTTCTATGCTGGGAGTGTCCTGTAAATTGAGTTCATGGTCATTGTTGGGAAGACTAATACCCAGGGATACTAGAGCTTCAGTCTCACTTCAATAATCCGCCCACCCCCCCATTTAACACTTTCATATATGGAGAGTCACAAGAGACAGTGCAGTATCATGGCCTTCGAGAATTGTAAAGGACCTTAGAGATGAGAAATTGAGGCCCAGCTTACTCAAGGAAACATTTAATGAGAGAGTTAGGATAATAACCTAAACTTTGTGATGCCCATTCACTTTGTGGTTTGCTGTCTGAGTGTGAAACAGGTATAAAAATAAGGAGGTGATAACAAAATAAAAGAAGGAATCCATGCCTAAACTGTCTTGATCAGCCTTTTACATGAGTCAAGGCGAAATATAAGGTGTTAACCTCAAAGGAAAGTAGATTTAGAGCTGGGAGAGGCATTAGAGATCATCTAGTTCAATCCTGTCATTTTACAGATGAGGAAACAGGCCAGGAGAGGTGAGGTAATTTCCCCAAAATCCCATAGGTAGTAAGTAGTGGAGAGAGAACTGGAACCTAGGTCCTTGGATTCCAAGTCCAATGCTCACTCCACTTACCATGACTGCCTTTCCTCATCTTTCTTATAACTTACTCACTTGCTCAGAAGGTGGCACATGTTCCAAAAGTCTTTTGTATAAAATGTGCTTCTGAAGAAGGGGAAGAGAAAAAAAGCAAATCAGTTGATAAAGGGACAGCAAGAATCAGGGTCCTCCCCTCCCTGCTGCTCTTAGTAGTATAACTTCCCAGGAGTTCTCCATTAGACTGTGAGTTCCTTGGGAGCAGGGACTATCTTCCACCTTTTTAAAAATTTTTATTTACAGAGCATACCATAACGCCTTACTCACAGTAGTTGCTTAATAAATGCTTACTCTCTGACTTGAATGACTGACTCACCCGGCCATTTTTACTGATATTGAGTCTCTGGCACCAGGCCTGAAGATTATTTCGGGATAAGGTATGCAGAGGAGGTAGAGGGGTGGGCATAGGAGGAACATCATCTTTCTGAGATTTCTGAGGGGTTGAGGCAACTGTATTGGACTTTGTCTTTGGAAAATGTACAACTGGAAAAGAGAGAGGAAAATGAAAGATAGGGTTACTTCAAGACCATAACACTTCTCACATCTTTGCTGTCCCAGCTCAGAGAAAGAACCCACAATCTACTAGTTTGTCTTTGAGGCAGACCCTAAAGGAGGGTAGGATTTGGTAAAGTTTGAAAGACTTACCAGCTTCCTCAAGATTTTCTGATTGTTCCCGGGTAAATCCTTGTGTTGTTGCTTTCATCCTGGCCTGAGCATCTGCCACCAGCTTGGCCCATGCTGCCATCACAGCTGTTCCATTTTCTCTCTGCTGAACATCTATTGCCAGCATGGTCCCATGAACCATCCTGCCTTCCTTCGCTCTGTCTGTATTATTGGCTGGAATGTCTGGTTGTCCCACTTCCTCAGAAGAGTTCTGAAAAAGGAGGTACTAGTCCTGGAGGTATTAGTCAATAAGACCCTCTGCGAGGGCTTACTACCCTCGTCCCCACTCTTATGATATATGCAAAATGCTTTGCAAAATTTAAGGGTGCTCTGTAAATACCAGCTAATAGGAGTATGGATGAGCAATGATGTGGAGGGGAAAAATTACAGAAATGAATGAAAGGTTGAAAGTTCTAATTATAGGGCCACCCTCCAGTTTGGTGATGAAAAGATAAAAGCACAGATGCAAGTAAAAACCAGATCCCTGAACTTTTTACCCCTAGACTGAACCACTTAGGGATACACCTCTCTCAATTAGGATATTTCCAGTCCTGCAGATGATTTATAAAGCACAAAATTTAGAACCAGAGGAACCTTTAGAAATAATCTGGTCCAAAATCCAAGACCTTAATTTTACAGATAATGAAACTGAGGTGTGGAGAGGTGCAATGACTTCCCATACCCTGTCAGTTACATATTCAAAACTAGAGCACACACCCTCCTGACTTCTAGTTAATTAAGCACAATTTCGACTACCCTATGCTTATTCTAAGTGCCAGTCTAACCTAAGACACATTTCTAGGTCTGAAAGAATCTAGATGAAGTTCCTAGGGCTTAGTTCCTCTAGGGAGAGTATGACAAAAACAGAAAGATATGATCCCAGGAATTCTAGGTTTGTCCACAGACTCTCACACTTACCTTGACCCCCAGGCTTGTTACTTTTACTTCTCTGGGTATAAATTTCTTCATTCGTAAAATGACAGATTCGACAAAATTTCCTTTTAATTCCACAATCCTCGGAACCTAGGATCCTGGTCATTTAGTTCCTGCACTTCTGTTTGCTTATTTGTATGATGGAATCATTTTGAATTACCTAAAACACAAGGTTGGGATAAGGAGAGCACTCTGCAAAACTCAGTGCTGTGAAACACAAATTATCTAAATGAGTTCCAAGAAAAAAGACAACACAATCCCACCACCCTCTTTTCTGTTTCCCCCCACACCTCAGTCTCTCACTTTTATAATTATGTCTTATATAAAGACATTTTCATTAGCCTCCTCACTAACAGTGAAATCCTGACTAGAGGAAAAGACCCAGTGGGACCCAATTCTTCAAGGGGCAGGAGCAAGTGGAGTGGAGAACACCCTCCTGCAGTGAGAAGGTTCAGGGGCACCTTACTGAACGGAGCACTTAGGAAACAGACTGGATGGGTGAATAACTCCATTAGACTATCGAACCCACCCTCTGTTAAGCTCAGAACAGATAATTCTAGACTTGGTTTGGATGGTGCCTGGAAAAGCTTTCTTTCTTTCTTTTTTTCTATTTACACTAAAGCGGCTTCCATTTAAATCCCAGGTTTTCTCACCAGTAACTTTTCTCCTTGCAAGCTGGTCTGCCACCTCTTTTCCCAACGTTTTTCTTAGAAGCATTTACCTTCTACCTACTTTTCCGGCCCCTTCTTCTTCCCCCCACTCAAATCAATTCACATGCATATTGACAGGAGTTTGTCAGCTTCTGCTTAAGTGATAACAATTGATTGCTTTGCTCCTCCCTCTCCTCCAGGGAAAAACCTGAGACCAGTTGCCAACAGTTAAGGTTCATTTTTAAGTTTTAGTGTGGTAGTTGTGGGAAGGGGGAGAAAAGCTGCTGCTGGAGAAACAGCTACAGATAATGGAGAGTCCATAGCAGAGACTTGGGATCATAGAACTATGTGGGACTGAAGAAATGGTTTAGTCCCAGAGAGTAATTGAAAGGGGTTAAAATAATGGCTTGATGGGAAAGCTGGAGCAGATTGGAGGCTGTAGGGAGTGAAGAAAGGGTTTTAGTCTCAGTTACCAAGGGGTGGGGACTGCTAGATACTCTCTTCCTAATTGGTTGTGGGGGTCGAGTGACTCTCCCTTTCATTTACAGGTAAACTTCTTCCCTTCCTTCTGTGAATACCTCTTACCCCCTCCTTTTCCTTAAAGCTCCCTCATTCTTTCTTTGTTTTGGCCCCTTTGTCACACCCAGAATGCTTTCCATCTGGAAGTCTAGGGAAGTTTTCCACAACAATTCCATCTTTTAGAATGTAAGTTCCTTGTGGGTAGATGCTGTTTCATTTATTTTATTTTTATCCCCAATGTTTATCCAGTTTTGCACATGATAGGCACATAAAAAATATTTGTTAATCATGTGCTATGTGCGTGGCACATAGTGTCTGGGGTACACACTGTGTAAAGTGCTAGAAAGACAGTCCTGGTCCTCAAAGGGCTTATAATCTAAAAGGAGGAGAACAAACAAAAAGTAAACTGATTTACAAGCGTGAGTGAAGGTGAGGAAAGTACTTGGATGGAAAGTTTAAAAAAATAATTAAACAATGAGTATAGCCAGAGCCAGATGGGAAATAAGGTATTTGCCCTGTGTTGTTGTTCAGTCATTAACAACTCTTTGTGACCCTGTGGACCATAACACATCAATACTATCCATGGGGTTTTCTTGGCAAAAATCATGAAGTGGTTTACATTTTCTTCTCCAGTAAACTAAGGCAAATGGAGGTTAAGTGACTTGCCCAGGGTCACACAGCTTGTAAATGTCTGAGAGTTCACATTTGAACTCAGGTCTTCCTGACTCTAGGCCCAGTACTCTATTCACTGAGCCACCTAGCTGCTCATTTCTCCTATACCCTCTTTTCAAATTGAGGTAGAATTCATGACTGTACCCTCCAGAGAGGCAGAAAGTACTGAATACCAAGAATGATTGGATCTTGCAGGATGATGGGATTACCCAATACTGAGATTCTTGGAGGCATGGGAGAGAAGTTAAAAAGTCCAAAATGAGGCTTCTATAAAGAGGAAATAAAAACTGTACCTGGCTTCAATAAGATTGCAATTTAGGAGAAAGAAAAAAAAAGAATTTTAGGTAGTTTCCATTCAAACTAAAAAAAAAAAAAAAAAAAGAAAGGCAACCTGGCATGGGGTATGGAGGGCTAGCTTTGGAAGATAGGAAGGCCTGAGTTCAAATCCTGCCTTAGCCATGTCGTTGTGACCACAGGGCAAGATGGGTAACCTCTCAATGCCCTGAAGCAACCCCTAAAGCTTTTAAAATTATTTTTTCAATTAAAAAGCATATATTTCTTCTTCTCCTAAAGAAAAACAAAACCCTGAAACAAATATGCATAGTCAAGTAAAAAAAATTCCCATAATAACCATGTCAAAAATTGTGCCTCATTCTTCATATTTAGTCCATTATCCTTCTTCCAGAAGGTGGTTAAGATTTCAAATTACAAAATTTCCATACTAGGAATTCACTGCACTCATGAAATCATACAATTGACTGTAAACTAAGAGCTGGCAGGGACCTTCAACATCATGAAGTCTACCCTCCTCCCATTTTACAGATGAGGAAAGTGAGGCACAGCAATATCAAGTGACTAAGGTGGGATCACAGAGCTAGAGAGTCTATGAAACGGGATTCAAATCCAGGTCTTCCTGACTGGAGGTCAAGTGCTTTGCTCTATCACCCACACTGACTCATTCTAGATCTCGATTTAAAAAAAAAATAACATTTTCTTAGCTCTTCCAAAATCCTTTATATAATGTTATTTGAGTCTAGTCACAACTCTGTGATGTAGGAGGTCCTCCCCACCTTTTTTTTGTACAATATTTCTCCATTTCATAGATGATGAAACTGACAGATTAAGTGACTTGTCCATGGTGCTGAAACTTCCTAGTTCAAGAGGCAGTTTAACACCAAATCTAAAACTCTATCCATTGATACCTCACTACCAAGTACTAACCAAGTTTGGTATTTCTTAGCTCCCATAACAAAATAATAGCAAGCCCATCAGGGTGGCATGGCTTTTGTCCACTCATAGTTCGCTCCTAGCTGCCATAGCATTATGGAATTGTGGAGCACTGGTGAGCTATCTAGTAAGCTTACCACTGTATAGTGGATAGTGCTAAACTTATAATCAATCAATCAATCAATCAACAAATGTTTATTAAGTGCTTACTATGTGCCAAGAACTGTGTTAAGAGCTGGGGATACAAAAAGAGGCAAAAAATAAGTCTCTACCCTCAAGGAGATCATTATCTAATGGAAGAGACAACATACAAACAAATAAACACAAAACAAATTATGTACAAGATGAATAAGAAATAATTGAGAGGGAAGACATTGGAATTGAGAGGAGTTGGTGAATATTTACAAAGAAAGATACACTTTTAGTTGGAACTTAAGGGAAACTAGAGAAGTCAATAGTTAGAGTTGTGGAGGGAGAGTGTTCCAGGCATGGGGGACAGGCAGAGAAAATGCCCAGAGGCAAGAGATGGAGTGTCTTCTTTATGGAACAGCCAGGAGGTCAGTGTCTCTGGATAGAATAATATGATATATGCAGGGAATGAGGTGTCAGAGGACTGGAAAAATAAGATGGGCCTAGATTATGAAGGGCTTTGAATGCCAGAACATGAGGTGCTAGGGAACCACTGGAGTTTAATGAGTAGGGGATAGGTGGTGACATGGTCAGACCTGTACTTTAGGAAAATTTCTTTGGTAGTCTAATGGATTGGAGAGAGGAGAGATTTAAGGCAAGAAGACCCACCACAAGGCTGTTTCAATAGTCCAGACATGAAGTGATGAAAGCCTGTACCAGAGTTGTGGCAGCGTCAGAAAGAAGGGGCAATTTTGAGAGGTTTCAAAGGTGAAAATCTGGCGGGACCTGGTTTCAAATACACCCTCTGATTTAGTAGCTATGTGATCCTAGGTAAATCACCTCAGTTTCCTCATCTATAAAATGGAGATGAGAGGTGCCATGGTGGAGAGAGGGCTGATCTTAGAGTGAAGATCTGGATTCAAATATTGTCTCAGACACTAGCTGCATGACCTTGGACAAGTCACTTAACCTGGGCTTGCCTCAGTTTCCTCATATGTAAAATGATGATAATAATAATACTCATCTTCGAAAGCTGTTATGATCAAATGAGACAATATTTGTAAAGTGCTTTGCAATGTATGTAAAGTGCTTTTCTTTTTTAGTCAATAATCAATAAACTTTAAAAGTACCTACTATGTCCACAAGATTTTGAGTTCCAAATTATCTCCCCATCTTGTCCCTCCCTCACCCAAAGATGGTGTGCATTCTGAATATTCCTTCCCCTAATCTGCCTTCTCTTCTATCTCTACAACACCACCCCCACCCCACCTTATATCCTTCCCCTTCTGTTTTCCTGTAGGGCAGGATAGATTTCTATACCCCATTGTATATCTTATTTTCCCATTGCTTGTGAAAATAATTTTTAACATTTGTTTTTAAAACTTTCGGTTCCAAATTTTCTCCCTTCCTTTCTCCTCAGCCACCCTCATTGAGAAGGCAAGCAACTTGATACAGATTGTACATGTGTAGTCATGCAAAACACTTCCATAGTGGTCATGTTGTGGGAAACTAACTATATTTCCCTTCATCCTATCCTGCTCCCCATTTATTCTATTCTCTCTTGTGACCTTCCTCAGAAGTGTTTGTTTCTGATTACTCTCTCCCCCTTATCCTTTTCTCCCCTATTTTCCTGTAGGGTAGGATAGATTTTCGTACCCAATTGAGTGTGTATGTTATTCCTTCCTTAAGCCAAATCCAGTGAGAATAAAATTTACTCATTCCCTCTCACCTTCCCCCACTTCCCCTCCTCTATAAAAGCCATAAAGTGCTTAAAGTGCTGTATAAATGTGAGTCAGTATAAATCTGGTCTTGAAAGTAACCAGACCTCTTTAGATCTAG